GGCTTATCTTTAGCTTTAAACAACACTCAGATCTGGCAAACATGTAGGCTGCAAATTGCTAGTTTAGAGGAAAGTGGATTTATGTCCAATTATTTGATATAAGATTTTCCCATGCACTTTAAATTGTTTCAGGAAACAAGATAGGATGAATCAATCAATTCTTCAAACTGAGTCTACTCTTTAACTGTTTTTCACCCACAACTACTATGATGCCTGGACAGATGCAATTTAGTTATGTCTTGCTCTTCTCACCTCTAGACTTGGGGAAATGTCCAATTCTATCTCAAGTCTTTCCTTTCCTCAAAGAGGGTTAAGGGAATCATTGGGGCTGGTTGTTTGCCCCACCTATTTATTCAATCTTGCATCCATATTGATACAAGTCTGTAGAAGCTGCTTCTAACTTACCTGCATGTTCTATTTGCTGCTGATTAAAGAACACCAAGACTGAATCCAACAGTCTCAACATGGTACCTGCTAAGGCAAAAAGACTCTATCGCTTAAGAATTCCCATAATGGCCAGGTATATTTTCCTATAATTATTAAGAAGACAAAATACCAAGATCCAGTGAAGGGTGACCTAGCTTCTTGGACTGGGACTGGACAAATTTAGCAGAGTTTCTTCTACTCATCTATAGCTCAAATTATCATTAATGCATCTCCTTTCCGTTTTTCAAAGAGCTCAGAATCATGCCACCCACTGCAGGACACCCCCATCTTCTGCTTGTTTCCTCTTCCACTTTCCCCTCCAGCCTAACCAGATCTCCATGGCAGCTAATCTTTGATGACATGAAGATCTCCAATTCTCTTTTCATTATTTTCACAGCACTTTGGCAAAAATATTCTTACTCCCATGGTTCATTTTTTGCAAATTGTACAGCTCAGGGAGGGCAACATGGTGATTAGGGATGGTACAAGTGAGATCAATTAATCATTAAAGGGATGGGATGAGTGAGCTGCCATATGAAGAAAGGTTTAAACGGTTGGTAAAGAAAGAAAGTTTGTATGTAATCAACATCTAATTCTTTAATCATTAAAACCATAATTCTTGTGCAAAAAGAAGTGAGTACAGGCAGAAGTTGCTTTTAACTCATTAATGGGGAAAATGGCAGAATGACAAAGTTTGAATCAGTGAAGATATGAGAAATTAGTATTTATGTAGTCTGTGGAAAAAAGAATACCAAAGTAAGATTACGAAATTAAATCAAAACTTCTAAGTGTCTTACAGGGCAACCAAACCTATTTTTGTGGTTGTCTTTTCTACCAGGCAGGATTTTTTAAAAAACCCAAAAAACAGAGTTTTACTTAATCATTTTTTTACAAGTTTACAATGTTGTAAAACACGTGGACCCTAATCAATTGAAAATCTTAAGTCAAAAAAGTTATGTTCCGCAAAACAGTCAGACGACCCTTAGGAAGGCTTGTTAAAAGTGCTTAAGCATGATATTAAAAGGTTACGTGGTTACTTATTTTTACACTAATCCCAAAATAGTTTTCCTGAACAGTTTCTAAGGTTATTGACATATACAATTTCTACACTCTCTGGATAGATGGACCCAAGTACCCAAGTGTCCACCACGTAAATCCTTTTAAGTTTGCAAGAAATACACTTTAGGTGAATAAAGCCAAAACCAGTTTACATAGCAGTTTGTTGTTTCCAGAGGGACTGGAAAATAAATGCAGTCTACTAAATTATTTAATGATGAATATAACCTTATTGTGGAGAAATTAGAATACTGGGCCAGGATGCATGAGATTGCTGCCAATTCAGATTCAATTTGTTTAAAATCAAACACACCTGCTCTGTTCACTCGCTCAGCATAAATTTTTTCTCAACTTTCCCTTTTCTGTTAATGACAACTCCATTTTCTCAGCCTCTCCAGCCTGAAACCCCGATTGATCTTTTATTCTATCCTCATCTTGTGATTAACAGACACATCCTAAAATTTTTGCTTGCTAGGTGCCGTACATCTAATTGCTGTCATCCTTTTCCATTAACACCACTATGACTGGAGTTTTCCTGAAGTAGTTTTCCAAACTTCAGTCTATAGGTTTGATCAAGAATTCCACTGACCAATACCTCCAAAGGCTTTGCATCACTTGTCATGTCAGCCTAGAAACCTCTCTCTGATTCCGATAGCCTTCTGTAATACAGTCCACGTTTTCCCACCTTTTACATGACACCCTATCTAAGGTCCTGGATTACGGCTGTCTTACTTGACTGGACCCCCACCTTTTGGAATGCTGCCCATTCAAAGTGTTCTCTTATCAAATACCACCTTGTCCCAAAATGTTTTTCACATCTTCCCGAAGAATAGGAACTTTCTTTCCTATGGGTCCTACTAGTCCTTGTATGTTGAATGTTGTCTTATCACCCGATTTGATTGTAAATTTACTGAGAAGAAAGGCTGTATGTATTCATCTTTGGGTACCATGCAGTACCTAAGTGTTACGCCTTGCAAGTCATAGTAGCTTGATAAATATTTATTAATTTGAAAGTTACTGTTCAGGCCCTCCCTCAGCATGTTTCTTTGTCCTATTCCAAAGACAGAATTCAGGACGGGATTGTAGCACTTTGCATTT